AAAGAAGACACACACACACACACACACACACACACACAGTCTCTCCTGTAACCATGCCCTTAGCTCTGCTGTCTGTCTCTCTCTCTCTCTCTCACACACACACACACACACACAGAGTCTCTCCTGTAACTGCGCCCTGGCTGGATCCAGGAGATGCATCTGTGTACCTCTGGGAGCCAGGTTGGGATATGAGTCATGGAAGTCCTGTTCAGCTCCCATTCTCCCAGGCCCTAGCCCAACACAAACTGGCTGTGTGACCTGGACGGAACCCCTCCCCTCTCTCAGTCTCATTTTCCCTATCTGTGCATGAGGCTTGGATTTGTTGGTGTCTGCGGGGAGACCCCAGCTCTGACTTCTTCCAGTATTTTGCAGTCTCATGTCATGACCTCACTTCCCTTCCCCCACCCCAACTGAGGCTGTGGTTGAAACGGGGACAGGGTAGGGCAGGAACAACTCCCAGCCCCAGGCCAGGCCACTTCAGGACTTTGCAGATGAAGGTTTGCTCCTCAGCGTGGTGGTCCTGGCTTTGGGAGAGCCCCTCACTCCCTGTCCTTGCCTGTTCTCCCCACTCAGGGCCTCCGAGGACAGGAACCCACAGGCAGCACGCTGGTCGGGCTAGTCTGTCTCCTCCCTCAGATGGGGTCCTGCAGCCCAGAAAGAGATGGGAGCAGCCATCTCGGGCCAGGCTGGGGTCCCGTGGCCCCTCAGAGCTGTGCAGCCTGACCCATGGCTATGTACCTACCTCTGTGCTGACCCTGAAGTGGGAAAGAGGTATGACCCAGTTCTCCTGGGTGCCGCAGGGCCCATACTGTGGCCCCTGAGAGCACAAAGAGGGCAGCCAGGCTGGATGCAAATCCTGGCTCTTACCACTCACTAGCTGGCTGACTTTAGGTAAGACAGGATAATAATAGCTCCCACCTCACAAGGCTGCTGGGATGAGAAAATGAGTCTGCCTGGCATGTGGACAGTGCGTTCCCTGTTGCCATGCTACACCCTCCTGTGGTCCTCACATCATCATGCCCATCTTACATCCAAGGAAGCTGAGGCCTGGGGAGATTGGCTTGGTAAGGGGTAGACAGTAGGGATTCCAGTCCTTACCAGTATGGCCTTGCCTAGTTTTTTTGTTTGGTCTCTAAATTGTGAAATACATCCTATAAATACGCATATATAACATACAGGT